CAATGAACTCTGAAAGCAAATGCTAGAATGAAAACACAGCACAGTTTTCCAAAAAATTTATCATCTCAGATGAAGGTGGATTTAAAAGCTATTAGTAACTGAGCACAGTGGTACATGCCTACAATCTCAGCACTCCAGAGCTTGAGGCAGGAGGATGGCAAATACAAGGTCAGTCTTGTAAAAAAAAAAAAAAAAAAAAAAGCTTTTTTTTTCATCAACACTCATTAGAAACTCACACTCTCCTCAACTCTAGATCTCACCCCACGAACTGCTTCGCATAGTGGGAGGGGAATGCTTAGCAAGGTGAGGGCAATTTCATCTCTAGCTACAGCTGCTCCTGCCCCTACACTACTTACTGCCTGAACCCTGCCTCCTAGTAGATCATGATGGCATTTGAGCATCACAGGAGCATGAACCCTACCGTGAACTGCAAATAAGATGGATCCTGGTTGCGTGTTCCTTTGAATCACCCCACAATCTAACCCCCTCTTTTCCTCTCTTTCTTCTGTGCAAAGATTGTCTTCCACAAAACCTGATGCCAAAAAGGCTAGAGACATCTACCTGAAGAGAAGTCTATAACAAGAACCTGGAGGTATTGCAGGTTCTGCCTTCTAAAAATCATCCCCCCAAAAGATTGCATTTTGCAAGAGTGTGTAACCAGTGCTTCCATGTGTCCTGATACAAGCTAATTCTTAAGAAATGATGGTGCCTCTCTACTCAGCATAACATCTCAGTTTCCAACCCCACCAGACAGCAAGCAGGTCACGAATCCAGTCAGAGGGCTATAATTATACCACCACTTCCTTTCTGCTCTTGAAGGCAATTATCCTCCTAATGACAGATCTGTAACACATTAATGACCTACAATATCACAACTCATCTCCTTTCAAGAAACCATAACATGCACTTAGTTTTTTGTTGTGGTTTCTTCTGCTCGTAAACAGCCAGAGCCCTGTTTAGAATCCTTCCATTCATTTAGTAAAATGAGTCTTCACTGCATCTCCGCTATATACCAACTTCAGGCCTCAACAACGAGAATATGAAAGCAACACAAATGCGCAGTCCTCTGGCTCTCAGAATGAGCAGACCGCATCTATGCATGGTGCCACTTAGAACCAGCCACCACACAGCATGCTGGTAAAGAGTGTGTGCTCTCAAGTCCCACAGCCTGGCTATAAACCCAAGCAATATCACTTATACACTGTATAAAGACAGGTAAAGCTGAGCATGGGTACACACCTATAATCCTAGGACTCTGGGAGACTGAGGCAAGAGAATCACAGGTTGGAGCATAACCTGGGCAGTAAAGCAACACGGTCATGCCATGTGTCAAAATATAAACAAGAAAAGGGCTAAGGATGCAGTCTGTAAGCCCTAGGTTCAATCTCTAGTACAAAAAGAACAACCTCTGACATTGTCACTCTTGCAGATAATCCACTACTATTATGGTCTACTGGACTATATTGGATTACTTTGCTGAATTCATGCACCTACAATATTTGAATGGCAATGGAACACCCATCTCTGACAAAACTAAACAAAAAAAAGGATATAAATGAATGACCATGTTTTAGTGAAAAAAATATATATCTGTATATACAAATTAGTTAGGATAGATATACAGTTACTTTCTCTTAGTTCAATGAGAAGAAAGAGTTGTACTAATAGACAAGATATCATGTCTGCATCTTACACTAAGAATAACTACTATGAAGACAACAATATACAATATTAATTATTGTAACTGTCCTACTAACCTATTTTGAAACTGTCTCATTGATATTTCTTTTTCAATAAAATTAATTTTAAAAAAAGAATAACAATCACCACTGGCGATTCAAGGGTTCAGGCAGTAGTGTGAGGGGTGGAAGGTGACCAAGAGCAAGACTAAAACAGAGCCTAAATGTTCTGTCACAGTAAAAGCAAGGAGCATCTGTCCCTCAGAATGTCAACTGTGCTTACAGCCAGGGACTGGCACAGAGTGTGAATTCAGAAAAATACAGGCCTTTAAAAGTTATAAATGGAAATTTACTTAGTACTGGCAAAATATAGAACTATAGGTGGCTTAAGAATTATTTCAAATTTTATGAAATTCCCAAGAATTATGTTACTATTCAAGCTAATAGTAATATTTCTATGAGACTTGTAACCAAAGTTCTCAACAGGAGTCTGAGCTGCCTACAGGAGATATTTGGCAGTGTCTGAAGGCATAAATGGAGAATGATGGCACTACCTGCATACAGTGGGCAGGGGTCAGGGACACTGCTAAACACCCTCCAAGGTGTGGGACAACTGCCAAAATCAAGAACAGCCTGCCAAGATGTCAGTAAAGCCAGGGTCGCATTTCTCTCTTCTAAAGTGAAGCCAACTAAGACAGAGCTGCCCCCCACCTTGAACCATTTCTCCTGTGGAATCAGGAATCCTGGCACAGGCATTCTCATGCATTCCACCCACCAGGACATGAATTAAAGTTAAGAGTCCTGGTTTTGTCAGCCTGGAGATTTTGCTTTTGCTGTCAAAGTCAGGCCCTTCTGAACTCACCATTCAATTAAATGCAATGCATTGTCAAGGGAATGGAGTCCTGGCTGAAGATGCCTCATCAGGGATTGAAAGCCCTCTCAGCAAAACCAGTTGTTGAATTTAAAAGACAAGCACCTGTCAGAATTCAGGGTAAGAAGAGGCCCCAGAGGTCTCACCAAATTACAATGATAGTACAATACACAGCATTGGTAAAATGCCTCCTAGAAGCCAGCAAAAGACTGCAATCATCACTTTTTATTAAATGATATGGGGAAGTACTTGAAAATTTGGGAGAAATTTCAACTAAAATTTGTTGAAATTAAAGACTTGACTCTAAAATGTAAGCTAGTCTTGAAAATGCCACTAAGGTGATGTGATTCTCCCCATTATAGTAGCAAATAATTTAAGAATTAAAAGAATTTTCTCAAGGCATATAAGTCATATGCAATTAAGTCTTTATCAAAAAGTAACGTACTTAACAGACTCAGTTTTGTGCAAGATAAGTGGGGGAATTTTTCAGTATACAACAAAGAGAAAAACCTGATAATATCTGTTCAAGATTGATCAAATAAATTTCTCTGTTTTGAGATGATAAAAGAAACACGTTAGTTTTCTGTGTTATTCAAACATGAACCCTCAAAAAAAAAAAAAACTCACAACTTTCACCTCTGGTGAAACTAGAAGACGTGTATAATCCTACATCACAATGCATGAAGGTGGAAATCAGATGAGGGAATCTTGAAAGACTCAATAAAAGAAGGAAGTGTACAACTCCAAGTGGTGCACAAAGGAGAACAAGCCATGGGACTGGAGAGAAAACACAGAACAGAGAATTTAGCAAAAGCCCAAAACTGGCATTTCAAGATATTTTTGGAAAGTGACCAAGAACAAGACTAAAACAGGAAACTGCTTCCCAATATGTTTGTATAAGCGAATAACTAGAGGCCCACATTCTCAAACCCACTGTATAGAAGATATGAAATTTTTTATACAAAAAAAAAAAAACGTAAACAGTAGAGGATAGTGCAACAACAGACAGAGAAGAAGGCAGGGGCCAGGGAGATGGCTCAGTAGAATAAACACTTCCCTGGCAAGCACAAGGGCCTGAGTTCAATCCCTGGTTCTGAAAAAAAAAAGAAGGAAGAAGGAAGAAGAAGGAAGAAGAAGGAAAAGGAGGAGGAGGAGGAGGAGGAGGAGGAGAAGGGGAAGGGGAAGGGGAAGGGGAA